ATAACAAAGAACAAATAGGATTTAAGGAGCTAGGGAGTCGGGAATATCCGTTTTGGTTCGACATTGCAATTATCAAGCAAGAGATTGTTCGGTTAAGTGATTTGAATAACCGGCACGTTCAAACACTCATTCTCAATAACTTTTCGTAACAAGAGAACAAACTTAAACGACAAGTTAACAAGTCATTTAACACCTAGGCAATACAATTACGAACAAGCCTAGTTTATACGAGCCTATTTCGACCGACTCCTCCCCTTTCGGTTCTAAGAGTCGATTAAAGGAAACTAGAGGGTTGTTAATCCACTAACCCGTTTAGAATTACCAACAACATGCATGAATTTATCGAATTCAATTGAAACAATTGGAAATTGAAGTGTCACCCTTCAATAATTATCAAAACTCACGAACGATGATTGAAAACTCTAGAAAAAGCTTAACTCGTACAAATTAAACAATCACGAACATGATAATCGCAAGCGAATTCAAAACATCAATCCCCTATTCCCTAGCATATGAATTTAGCCACTCATGATCGATTCAACATCAAAATGATCAATAATCCAAGCCATCATAACCATAAATTAAACGAAAAGAAAGCTTATGATTAACATCCAATGTCGAAAACGAGAGCAAATCAAATCCAAAAGCGAGAAAAGGAGTTTTCTACTCTCCAAATCCAATCACAAGTCAAAAACTAAGAGAGAAATATGTTTTCTCTCAAGAAAAGTCGAAAAAACGAAGTCAGGAGTCCCAAAATATGCCCTAGGCTCGATCTATTAAGCTTCCAATTCGAAAATCCGCAGAAATCGCGCCTGTTACAAAACAGACCTTAGCGCCGCTAAGGGGTTAGCGGCGCTAAGCCTTCTTAGCTGTTAGCCTCTATCCCGCTAAGCTTCCAAAACGCCGCTATCCACACATGCCTTAGCAGCGCTAAGGCCTTAGCGCCGCTAAGGCCCCCGGCAACTTTGCATGACTTCACGGTTTGGGCTCGTTCGGGCTCGTCTGGTATCGGAATTCAATTCCGTTTTTTCCTACGCATCGCTAATGAGCCCCTCTTTCTAATGGTGTCAGCTTCCCCAAAAGATTCTCGAAAACCTGTTCTCCCGAGGTCTCCAAACTACACACCAAAAACGAAAAGAAAACAGAAAAAGACCGAAAAACAAACGGAAAACACCGCAACACTCAAATGAATGCAAAACACATAATAAATGGCAAAAAGATCCTAAAACCACCTAAACGACTCAATACGGGGGAAAAAGAACGGCAAAAAGATAACGAAAAGCACAACAAAAATGGGACAAAAAATCTCCTCACCCACTCAAATAAAAATGAATGGTATAAATGGTTCATTTCATGCATGGTAGTATAAAATTGTTGAGATGAGTGAATAAAATTATTTATGCCGGTAAATAAATATTTCATTTCAACAGAAAGCTTTTCAGAAACACACGGGGATGTGGCTAACAAATATAAATAAAATATATAGAAAAACAAAATATATACAATTCACTCTGTAATGTAAACTTAAATTTCATTTTGTCCAACAAATGGATTTGCCATACTCGAGAATTTAATTTCATATATACAATTCATTTTGATTAATAAACTTGAATTTCATTTTGTATACATAAGAGAGATTATTTCATTTTCTATATGTAAGAGAAAATTTATTTTCAGACCCAATCGTCTTAATATTGATTAATATTAAATTTGTGTGAGATTATAAATTTATGGTAATGAAATAGAGATTTATAAGATATTGATTAATAACAAACTTATGGAAGCAATAAATTTACGGTAATGAAAAATATATTTATAAGGTAAGATGAAATAAATATTTATGATTCATTTCAAGCCAATTATGTTTCCAAATTTTTTATCCAAACCTTACAAAAAAAAAAAAAAAATATTTGGACGCATATGATTCCAAAGCGTACGAGACTGCCACTTAGGTACAGCACGTTTTAAATGAATATATAAGGAGAAAGGGGATATTACTACAATATATAAATCATTATTGTTTAAAATATTTTTGATACTGAATTTCAAATCAAATTTAATACATTCGACTACCTTAAATGAATCAAATTGATCATAAATTCACTTTTCTAGTAAAACAAGTAGGAATACGAATACTCAAATATTTTTACAAATCTCGAATTGAATGTTTCAGCATTCGTTTCTATTCATTTCGTTTACAACACTACACATCACAACAAAGCAACATAAGCTATGGAAAACATCAAGCAACTCGAAAATAGGTAACAATTACATTCACATTGATCGACTACAAAAATATGCAACCCATATATCCCCACAACAATATGCATAAGACATGACGGGAATTCTTTCCGTGTAGGAAAAACATGCTAGAGAAAAAGATGGGATGTGAAGATATTTTACGTATAGTAAGCCATGGTGAACTATCCTCATTTTCATGCATCCTCTTATCTCCTTCAAACGCTCCTTATTCTCGTATCTTGTCCTCTTGCTTAAGTATTGCATTCAGTTTTCTTTCCAACTGTATTGAACACAAAAAGACAATGAGAAGTTTAGTAAATAACCCCCCATAACTGAGAAGTTACTAGGGAAATATTCCACGTAAGAAGAAAAAAATAAAACGATGCATTGATGAAAAGATCAAACCATTTTTCAGTAAAACCCAACTCAAAGGCAAACCTGTGAATTTTTAGTCTTCAGTCTCTGAAGTTCTTCAACAAGACTCCCAATGCTGGCACAGTGGAAGCTCGTTTAGAAGTACTAAGACGTCCAAAATAGACAAGATTTCTCTCTATACAAGGTGGTTTTATTTTCATACCTTTGTTGTAGTTGAATCACTTGAGCATGCAACTCCCTCTCCCTGGCAGTACTCTGCGATAAATAGTCATCAAAATACGTACACAAATTTCTCCTTTGGATGTGTTGTGTACTGTCTATACAATAGTAAAAACTTAAAACAAAAGCAATTCTACCTGCAAAGGATCAATTGATCCTGACGCAGTTGACTCACTAGCATTGCCTTCACAAAACAAATCAAGAATCAAGATACCGAGTTATCAAAGAACACTTAATGGAAAACTAAAGAACAAGAAAATTTGAAGTACATAGAGAAAGAGTGCGAATAAAGTAAAGGCATTACCAGAAGTTTGTTCGACAAGCTTTATCAACTTAACTAGCTCTTCCTGTCAACACGGTAAAAGCACAGATCAGAAAATAAATAAATAGCTTAAGGGGTGATGAGGTAAAAGTAGTGGCTTTTCCTTACTCTTTGTGCGGTGTTCTGCTGCAGGATACACTGCAATGATGGGAGAAATGAAGCAGCATTTGATGTAATCGGGCTAGTTGACCCACTAGAAACCGGATTAAACATGTTCATAGGAACCTAAAAAAAAAGAAAGAAAACCGGAGTCATGCATATGTACATACATATATGCACATTATAAATGAGGAAGAGAGAGGATCATCAAATAAAAAGGAAAAAAAAATGTTATAGCTACCTTGGAGCTAAGATCACCTGAAGTGACCTTAAAACGTCCTCTACGTTCGACTATAGCACCTTCGGATGTATCGTCACCTAACATGAAAATACACTAATATATTTAGAATCTACAGATAATCAAATGAAAAGGAATAAAAGAAAAGCATATGTCCACATATAGATGATAAAGAAATCACATAGAAGTTTTTGTTCTTAATGCATTACCAGCAATAAAATCTTTTTTCTGGCGATACTGCAGCGGACCACTATGATTCCGTTCCGACTGATATCTTGGTTGCAAATATTCCCTTCATATTAAACCGAAACTACTTTGCCTCAGAGGAGGTTTTGCTAAATTAGAACGCAAGGAAAAGCAATAAATATATATAGTTGTGAATAACAAGGTAATGTCGGATAACTATCCTGTTCTAACTAGCAGAAACCGCATTGCATAAGCCCCTAGAAGAAAGGTACACATATTCCAACAAGTGGGCATTGTATTTATTTATAAAAACTGGTCACTTATATGAAGAAAAAAAAAACCATGTCACTTNGCCAAAAAAAAAAAAAAACACACGTCACTTAGCCAGCTTTACAGTCCAAAGGACAGGTGTTTTACCCACTGGAAATTGACTTACATAAATAGAAAACTTAAAGAAAAGACCATACCTATCTCCATCACCAAAGAGCTTTTTAGGAGAGAGAACATTATCATGTAATAGCGAGCCACTGGGAAATTTTTTACGCCCCGAAAGTGCTGATGGTATGAATGAGCCACTTTGAGAAGAATCCACACTGTCATTCCTTGTAGCTTCTCGACCCACAGCACTTGTGGATGACTGATGTTGAGTTTGTTCAGAATCTGAATGGACAGATCCTCTTGAACTTAGACTACCAGTAGTACCAGCATCATCTTCTTCACAAACATCAAAAAAACCCCTGCAATAAGGAAAGATAAGTGGAAAAACATTGCATGCGGTGATCACCATACATATAGATATTGGCAAAAAGAGATGCATGAAATGCAATTCAATAAATGTATTGGAGTTTCTACATGAAAATTAAATCAAATTATATAATTCTACGAGGCTTATACGCTTGAAAGGTCAATCAAGATCTGATGTCATCTTTATTTCTCTTCCTATCGAAAAAACATATATGGATTGGCGGTGCAGCTACAATTATTGATTAAAAATGTTACGAGTAGTTATTAGCATTATCTCTTCTAAACAAATGAAATGTTAATCTTTCACAGATATTTAAAAAATTAGTGTTATTGGGTTTAAAATAAGCATACTTGAGAGCCTGAAGAGGTTTCTCAGGAAATACAGCCAGCGAACCCTCCAAATGATTCAAGCCATTGAGCTCGTCCTAAGGAAATTGAAGAAATGAGAGAAGAGGGGGGGAGAGAAACAGGAAAAGAGAATCTTCACAGTTCACAGTTAGGGGAAAAACTTTTCAAAAAAAAAAGAAAAATAAATCAAGCAATACTGTTTTAGCTGTAACTCATACCTCCATCTGAGATGCATCTTTAGAATGATCAGCCTTCTCAGAGAATGACTCCTCCTGTACGTCCATGTTCTTTCCGCTTACACTGGAATCCTCTGAATTTGACATAAAATCATCTTGAATCTGCAAGCAAGAGAAAACCAGAACTGAGAAGGTGGGGCGGGGAGAAAAATGGAAGGAAGTTAGAAAAAGAAGCAAACAACTCCAATAGATATGTGGCCAACATACAAGGGCTGCTTGGTTCTTCAGATCCTCCAAATTGAAATTCCAAGCACTGACTCCGCGAATGTATTCTTGCTGCACATAGCTCGACATAAGGACATGCTTGATTAAGTAAATATGTCCATGGAAAAGTTGGAAAGAAAAACTTTAATATTATTTGTAACAAATTAATTGTGTCCATCTTTTTTTTCAGTTCAACAAAGTAAACCACATATAAGTAGCCAGAAAGACCGAATGCATAAAGAACCATAATGTGCAGTACTTAATGAGATTTTATCTGAATGAAAAATCTTGTGTACTTGCACGAGTCTATAAAAGAAATGAAAGATCAGAGATCAGACATGCTTTACTTCTGACCTGTGATAACTGCTCCTTGTCCTCATAAGATGCCTTATTCTGAACAAGCATATCAGCTTCTTTGGCCTGAATTGTAATTTGATGTCAAACACAGTCAAGAAATTATCTAACAAGATATATTTTCTTTTGCGCAAGTAATGTGAGCACGCGAAGGCAAATACACTAAGTAACAGCAAAGGAATGAGACCTTAAGAACCCTAAAACGTTCTCCCAGAGGGTTCAGACCATTAAGGATAGTACGATCTAAATATTCATTGGAACGCGCATGTTTAAAGAATGCGTGCTTCAAAAGCTTCTCGGAGGAGGGCCGTTTTTTGGGATCCTTAACCAAGCAAGCAGCAACCATTTCTTTGAATGACTGCAAAAAAGTAGCGTTTTAACACACAAGATTTATAGTCAAAGTTATAGTAAAACAGCAAAAACCTTGGAGAATCTTTTATCTCTCTCGTAGTCCAGCCCAGGTGGTGCATTTTGAAGCGTCATTAGCAGAACCTTAACAAATAGAAGAATGTGAAGACCAATTAATGTGAATAACTAGACACAATACAAGATTTATTAAGATTTATCAACCTTCATTGGCGGGTACTTGGAGAATGGAGCATGACCATGGGCAAGTTCAAGTGCAGTTATTCCAAATGACCAGATATCTGCTCTGTAGATGTAAAATTATAAGTCAAATGAGAAAGATAGACATAGCTTAAGAAGTAGATTGAATGAAACTTCATTAACAAATACTCACTTAAAATCATATCCATGTAATTGTTGCATGACTTCAGGAGCCATCCTATAAAAATAGACAAGCTAAATGTTACATTAGAAGAAAACATGATTTGAAGATGAAATTGAAATTATTCCAAGTAATTAGGTCGTCTTGAAAACACATAAAATAATTAAAATATCGCAGCTCGTGGAAGTTTACCAGCACGGGGTTCCCACAAAAGTATTCCTTGACCGTTGACGGTCACCAGTGTCATACATACAAGCAGCAACCCCGAAATCTGCTAATTTAACAGAACCATCACAGTCTAGCAGTATGTTCCCAGCCTGTTGACACATGCTAAGGGGTAAGTAAAGTGAAATCGATGTTGCTATAACTAAAGAAGCAAGAAGTGACAACTGCTTAGAAGGAGGATGCACAAAATCCAAATACCGTATTACACACAATTATCGACACCAGAGATGGTGTGAATAGAGAAGACAAACAATACAGCCAAATGCCTAAAAACCAGAAGCTTGCCTGATGGCCATAGTACACTATAATTCCGATAAGAAAGCAGAAAGTGATTTCAACTCACGGTTAACAAACCAATCATACATTTGCACCTCTTAATATAGCTTAAATAGCAATCAAATATAGTGCTCAAACAATGTGAGACAGCCACACCTTCACGTCTCGGTGGATATGTCCATGGTGGTGAAGATACACAAGAGCTTTGAGGACCTCACGTAATAATGTAGCAATAACGGGCTCCTCAAAGCCTTCCGGATAAGCTGATTTCATTATGTGTAAGCAAGATCCACCAGCCATGTAAGGCATCACGACCCATAGGTTGTGACCAGCGGTGAAGGAACAGTGTGCCCGTAAGAGATTTGGATGGTCAATCAAAATCATTGTTTGCACTTCTCGTCGAATGTTATCCTATTCTCATGGAAAACCAACAGAGAGAACAAAAGGAAAATTATAAAAATAATGATGCAGCGAGGGACGAGAACCTGAAGCAACTACATGTACTGAACCGGTAACGAGATTGAAAAAACTACAATAACATCAGTAGGTCTTGCAGGTATGGAATTTTGATCACAACAGTGAAGTATACAGAGATAGCATATCATCACAATTCATCAGAGTATTCATGCTTCAGTCATCTTGCAAAACTCCCCTTGTTTCAAATTATTAAACTATTTCAAAGTCAATGCTTCTCATTGCCATTTAGTCTTTCTTCCAGTTCTTTTCCCGCAATTGCAAACATATTCCTAGTAGTTGGTCTACTAAAGAAAAACAGTAACAAATTCTCCAATATCTTGCTCCATGCAAAGCATGAAGAACAAACCTCCTGAACCAAATGTCAAGCTAAAACTTATTTCTTCATCGCTAAGTAGCAATCATTCCATATGATAAGTTCTGAATGTACAAAATATGTTTTCAAATGTTTAATGAAATACTGAATATGTGATCTATATGAAGAAGTTAACTTAAATTCTAACTTGAGGTAGCAAAGCCAAAAAGGCAAGGCCAGCATCCACCAACTCGTAGCTCATCGAAATTGAAAATGTAAACTACTATTCAATTTCAAGAACCCTTTTTTATAAAGAAATTAGCAGAGGATTGGCTGAATCATTATTACACTTCTCAAGATCATGAATGTAGATAGTCAAAGAATGTTAGCGAAAAAGAAAATGATTACTCAAATTGAAACTAGTATAAATTAACCAAGTAGTGATGAAGCAGATAGAAAAGGATGACTTACTAAGTCATTATTGCACTTTTCAAGATCGAGAACTTTGATTGCTACTATCTCATTAAGTGGAACACAATGGGCTCTATATACAGTAGCACTAACACCTTCTCCAACTTCCTCATATAACTCATAATCTTTAGAATTTAGGGGAAATTTTTTCTCTGGAGCCTGTTCCATGAATCTTTATACTACAGTTTCAAGTATTCTACAAGATCCCAATAAACATCAACTGGATATAGAGAAAGACGGCTGGTGTCAAAATAGTGTGACGTTCTATCGCAATAATTTAACATTGTCCCTTCCCGACGCAATGGCAAGCTGAAACAATCTCAAATATAGAAATTCCACTGATGCCTTTCCGAACCAATCTGCAATCAAGGACTTCCCAAGGAAGCTGATAAAGAATAAATCAGCCACTGTTATTCTCATGCTAGCAAGACCAGCCTCCCTATATACCTGTATGTAAGAATTTTTTTCAGAGTTGCAATTATGGTAGACCTTTCCACTAAAGAATGTCTGACAGAAAAATCCCATTCAATGGAACTATTCACTGAATACATTAAGAAAGAAACGAACCAGATTAGTGAAAGCTAATGCAGTCACCTTCAGTAGCAAAAGATTAAACAAAAGGAAAGGAAAAAGAAATAAGTTAAAGATTCAAATGGAGATCGAGACCAGCTGTCAGAATACTGAAAACAAGGACAGCAATATTTTTCATGAGTGCATACAGAAAGGTATGTGCTTACTATCCAAATAAGATCATCCAAATAAATTAAAATGAGCAACTTACGCACGAACACATCTAAGTAGTAGGTACAGGATATAGAAATACTATGTCTTTAGAAATACTATGTTTCTCGAAATCCAATGTCTTTCACTTTAACTTGTCCATGACTCAATAACTTGCACATAGCTACTCAAAAAGCTCTTCAAGTTCGATGGAAAGTAGAAACTCTTGATTTTGATTGCTATCAAAAGCAGAGACCAACTTCAACCATTAATCAGAACAGTCACAGGATGTTTCTAGTTGGCTTAGTAACAAGCTCCTTAAATTTATCAATTAAACAAGTTCTTCATTCAATCATGTGATCACCATCAGGGGATACTGAAAACTGCCAATTGCATACATTTCACTGCAATCCTAGACCATGGCCTAACGACATGATTAATCGCAATGTGATGGAAAACCAGAAATGCAGTCCATTTCCATCTATGCGTATTCAATTTCTCCCAATTAAAACTTTGATATTTATTGTTCTAAAAGTATGAGGTATTTTAGCATCAAAAGATAAATTTTCTTATCTATCACCATTCTCTTCTGAACTGCATGCTTAGAAACAAAACAGATCATCTCAGTTTCTGTAACAGGTGTTCGTCTAAACTTTTGGCACGAAGAAACAAACATGAAGCCCACAGTAATTACTTTATCAGATGCACAATGCCACCCATATTGTTCATGCAAATAGCAACATGACAATTGCAAATTTTCTCAAATGCAAAAAATTACAGCCCCACGAGCAACAACGAAACAGCTGCCTTTGTCTAATCAAAGTGCATTAAGCATCATTGCAACACTAAGATCATTTCATTTCAACCAAAATATAACATCCATGTACCATAAATTGCAGCTTTTGATCAACACCAAATAAAAAATTAATAATTTTACCATTCCCCCTAATCTCTCTCTTCACACACACACACACACACACACACACACACTCACATATAGTAAATAAAAATTGCAGCTTTTGAACAACATCAACTAAAAGTTTATATTGTTCCATTTCATAACAGACGAAGCAAATTAAAATTCAGATGAAATCCCAACAAAAGTTACTGCAAGAATCAGTGAACAACCATCAACTGAGGAACGAATTTCGATTAATCAGGATCATTGATAATCGAATTAGGGTTTCCACGCAAGAGAGGAGAGAACTGAAAAAGCTCAGGGAATAAGAAATGATTCAAGAGACGATGACCAAACGACGCCGTGCCCTCGTTTGATTGCTCGGCCACAGGCGATGTCAAATAGAATCATCACCAATTTTGTCATTTAATTGCAATGGATTTCATTTTTTCTTTTTCTGTTAAGATATAGAATAATTTTATTGTAAAAATCTTATACCTGTAATTGTCTTTCATTTTCTTTAATTATATTTTTTCAATAATTATTTGTATGCTTTTTCTCTTTTGGTCTATGACATGACATCTGGAGAGAAACAAAAGGAATTTGATTTTCTAGAGCATATTCAATAAAATTTGGTAAGCCTCTTCTTTTTACATTTTTAACATACCCCAATCATTCTTACTCCTATTTTATATGTCCTTGCGATGCACGGGAATAATATAAAATTTATTATAAATATGTGGAATTATCACTAATGTTAATATTAATATTATCTTGTTCCTTGAAGTGTGTGCTAGTGGGCTTTCAATTTGCCTATAAAAGGGTACCTACGGCTTTGTAAAATTTGTACTGAAAAGAGAAAAGAAAGGCTTCTTATAATTTAGATCCGGTTTTTACATTGTGTTCTTTATATTCCTCGCATTTTTATAACACGTTATCAGCACGAACGCTCTGCCCGGTCAAGAAAGGTAGGATATATATACATATTACCATTATTCTTGACAAGTTAGGCTCTGCCACAGTCAAAGATATATATACATATTGCTATTATTTTTGACAAGTTAGGCTCTGCCACAGTAAAAAATATATATATTACTATTATTCTTGACAAGTTAGGCTCTGCCACAGTCAAGATATG